CACAGCTCCATGGCAGAATGGACTGTCAGAAGACCAGACTCCTTCACTACGAGGCACTCCCATCAACCTGCAGGATGGGTTTGCTCTGGTGACAGCCCCAAGAGCCTGGCTTTCCGAGGAATTCAGGACAGCTGGCACTTGCAGATGGGGAAGAATGATTTTTACAGTTTTGCCCACAGTAAAATGAAGTGAAAGAGGAGACTTGCATATTTGGGATAAAGGGGAGGGGGAAGAAAAAAAAAAAAAGCCAACAACCCATTCTAAGTCTGATATATTGAAATCTGAGCCCTGTTACACAGATGAGCTGCAGGAGCTCTCTGGCATTTTTCAGACCAAGAGCCAGTTGGTGCAGGATGGAGGATCCTGTAAGTAGTACTATGGGGAAAGTTTTTGGGGGGCTGCTTTATTTTAATATCTCCAAACCCTCCAGTGAGGAGAACAAAGAAAACCTTTGCTGTTTTTGCCAATTATTTCCCTTTTTTATGCTTCCAGCAGCCTTGTGGTGTACCCATCTGCCCTCTTGTTGTACCCCTCCCAAACAGAGGAGCACCCAGCCAAAGGAGCAGGGGCTGGGAGCCAAATTCATCCCCTCCCAAAGCAAGACTGTAGAACCCTGGAGGTTCCAATAAATTATTTTCTACAAATACCAGCTTTGCTAGATAGATTGCATATTGCTCACTAAAAGCTATCTTGCTTATTAAAATGGTATTGGCTATTAAATAGAGATGCAAAGATCTAGACACATAATGGAAAAAAGAGCAAACTTTTTTGCTTTTTACCTTAAAGTGAACATATTTCAGCTATTTTATTTTCAGCTCTGTCTCCTATTTCACTAAGATTTAACCTCTTAAGGAAATGGTTTTAAAAGCAGTTAAAAATAATGATTAAATTATGGGATTTACATGAAGGAAATCCTTGGCCCATTCATTTTTTAAATCATGGTAATTTGTTTCTTAAAAGGTGTTTGAAGCCCTTGAATCTACCTCTTGGCACCACTAAAAAAAGAAAAAAAAAAAAAAAAAGAAGCAGCTTATAATCCCCTAATGTACTTAAATAAAGCCTTCAATAGTTTAAATTGTTATTAAACATCTTTGGGGATTATAATTTTATGGGTTTTTTTTTTGGCCTGATTAGATGATGAATGTGAAGATCATCAAATACTCATCATATAACAAACTAATTACATTGTATAATCCCCAAAATGAGGTTTGAATTCCAACAATTTAAATTAACCTGGATTTAAAGCATGCAGAGAATTCACAATGAGTGGACAAAACACGGAAAAAACACCCCCCAAACTCTTTTTTAGTTTTAAACAGAAAGGTGCAATTGCTGAGACAAAACCATAGCACGGGCTGAAGCAGAAACTAATCCTGTTGCCACAATTACATTTCCATAGATCTAGTTGAAGAGAATTATTTTTCTTCCTTCCCTTCCTCCAAGCTTTCCCCTTGCTTCTCAATCCCTGCTGAGGGGCTCTATGTTACAGAGAAGAGATCTGCTTGAAAACTGGTGGCAAGATATGAGCCCTGAATGTAAAGTGATCCAAAAAATAATAAAAAAGGGGGGTCTGCAACATGCTGCAGCACACCCTGACGTGACCCTCAGGGCAACCCTTTGGAGCCCAGCTCCAGCCCAGGACTGTTCTGCCCCAGCCCCTATGATGGTATTTTCAGCTCATCCAATCCCACCCCATAAAGCCCAACTCATTTGGAGCACAGCTTCTACAGTTTAGGGACATTCTCACTTCTTCAAACTATCAGCAGCCTGTTTGGTTCTTTCTTTCTTTTTTTTTTTTTTTTTTTTTTTTCTTTTTTTTTAATGGTTATTTTAAAATAGCTTTTCACTCCAAATTCATAGCATTCTCCAAAAACCCAATTTCACAAACATCAAAATATATGGGCCAGTGTAACAACCTACCAACATCAGTCTCAACAAGTTCCACCGCTATGCTTTGCCTAACTAATGGCCAACCTAGACAGCTATTCCAACACTCTGCCTAACTAATGGCCAACCTAGGCAGCTATTCCAA